ACAGAGCAGAAGCTACTCTGATTTCTGTCTGAATATATAATTGACTGTTCAGTCAAAAGATTCTATTATTTCTATAATTATACAAATAAGAATGAAGAGTCTGTTATGCAAATTCTGAGTTAATTATTTATCAAAATCTACAAGACTGTAATTATTAATCTCTGAAGTTATTAACAGAGCTGTTGTACAAATTCTTATTTTTATTCAGTTGATCAGACTGTCTGGATCCTGCTTGAAACTTATTCAAGATAGAAGCATGAATATAAAAAAATAAAGTTTATAAATTATAATACAAAAACTCTGCTGGATAAATATTATAAGAAGAATATTATATAGCTGGTTAAATACTGCTGGCAGAACTGATTAGAGTTTAAAAAAAATTAGTCAGTAAAGTTACATCTCTATACTATAGTAAACTTTTTAATAAGCTACAGCATACTTCTTTGCAGTGAATTCTGCTATACAGTACAGCTGGCTAATCTCTTTACTCTGAAGCTGACAAATAAAGATTTAATCTCTTGCTTTTTCATGATTTTAATTATAGAAAATGACAAGACTAATTAGATAGACTGAATTGAGTATACTACAGTAATATATTATTATAATCTCTTACTCTATATTATGATATAGACAGTCTTTTATCTCTTTTATTAATAAGATATTGTACAAGAGTCATTACTCCAGTTTTATAATTATCAGAACTGATACCAGCTGCATCTGATTAAGAGAAATGATATGAGAAAGCCTCTGTTATACAAGATTCAGCTGAACTGAATTTAATATATTTATAATGAGACAAAATTTTCTGGTCTGAAGAAGATTTATACTAGATAAGCTACTGGAGTCAGGTATACAGAGCAGATTAAAATCAGTAAAAATTAGATCTGCTGTACTAAAAAATAAAACAATAATATTTTCAGCCAGTATTATCTGACTAACATCTCTAGAAAGTTTGTATGGCTTATGACTAGCTTTAACTTTTGTATATCTGAAAACTTCTATTTATTACAGATCAGAGTATCTGTATCTAAATTACTGAAGTATACTATCTGACTCTGAATTAATAATTAAATATAGTAATTTAAGTTATATAATATTCAGAACTTCAACTTCTGTCTTCAGAAGCTAGAGCTAAGAAGATTTTCAGATTAAAGTAGTTTTTAAGACTAATTTAGAGAATCTTCTACTGTATAGCTGAATAAGAATAATCTAGCTGTTTAAGAATTTCTATATCTGCTTTATTATTTTTATATAATTCTTTTGCAGAACTCTGTCATTCTTTAGTCTCTCTTCTTTAGTTATTCTCTGTAAACCAGTTCTATATTTATAAGAGAGAACTATTGTTAGTTTGCAGAGGCAGTTTAGATAATTAATACTTATAAAGAGAAGCTGTATAAAATGTAACTGTAGCAGATAATATTTATAGTAGCAGATCAGCTACATATTATACAGCAGAATCTGAATATAGTCTGTAATTATTTATATACTGCTCTGAAAACAGAACTGCAAAAAATTAATAACTAGTTAGAAGTACTAATTAGTAAACAGATTTCTTTTCTTATATAAGTATTTTCTGCTGATTAAAGAATGATGACAGCAGCTGCTGTCTTTAAAAATAAAGATGAAGAGAGAGATAGTAATTCTATAGTATTTAGAGAAGCACAAGCTCCAGTCTGTTTATTAGAGATAGCTTTAGTCTTTGCTAGTGTCTCTGTTCCAGTTATATACTAGCTTTCTTGTACAATCACTATAGTTTCAGATCTGTAGCAGAAATAGATAGTTAATCTGAAAAGTGGCTCTTTAGTATAGAGTCTAGATATCTTGTATGAAGTAAAATAACAGCCAGATAATACAGAGAGAATATTTTATAACAGAAGAAAGATAATTATTAATTATATTAACAGACAGAGACAGAAAAGTATCAGTAGCAGTACTACTGTAGAGAAACTAAAGCTTGTATAATAGTGTAAAAAGCTTAGTTTAAACAGATTATTCAGAATGCTGTAAGTAAAAAAGAAACTGTTCTGATTTTTATTATAATAAATCTTATTTATTATATTCAGTACAGCCTGTTATATAATAGAAAGATAAAGAAGAAGAGATGCTGAATATATAATAGTAATTTACTTAGCTTTATCTTTTAGAGTTACTGGTTCTAAATACTGTATAGAAGTGCAAACTATATTCAGATATTATATATAGAGTCTGTATAACTAGACAAGAGCAGTTAAGAAAAATCATAAAAAAAAGAAAGAAAGCAGACAAGCTAGAAAAAAAAGTTCATGCATATCTAGTTTAAGATAATAGAATTACTCTAAGAGTTATTCTCTAACTTCTCAGACTTCTCAATCTTGTATAGAAAGACTAATAGTGAATCTCCAGAGCAGAGCAGAAGAAAATTAATTTTAATATAAATAAAATTATTTGCTGTTCCACTCTTAAGAAGAAGAATTAGATAAGCAGAAGATAGTTTCAGACTGGCTTTGCTATCTAATATATGTAAATGATCAGCAGCTTTATATAAACTTAATTCTTTATTATTATATCTTACTGCAGATTCTGGCCTGTCATACAGAAAGTAGCAGAATATATAGTCTGACTATTTATAGTTTTCACATATATCTTTAAAGTAACTGTATATATAGTAGCATAATAAGAATAAAATTATAAGCTTTATCTTTATATATTTGTTATAGATACTGCTTCAGTACAAAGTTCTTCTGCATAACTGAATCAGAATTATATTAATATATAACTGATGGTGCATATTAATCTGATAGAGAAAAATTTATTCAAGAATAAACTTTATATTTCTTTCTGATTAAGTAAGCAGTTACTGTAACTAAAAGAAGTAAATATATAGAGCCAGCTGATTCTATTTAATAAAAAAATAGAGTAATTAATTATTAGTTTAAGCTTAGACAGTAGCTTTAGTAAGATTCTACTTTATCTAATTAGAATAAAAGAGAGTTTATTAAACAAGTACTTTATATTAACAAGTCAGTATTTTCTTCTTGTATTTTACTAATATACAGAGCTGTACAGACATTTTCTTTCTTAGATTTATAAAGAAGAAAGAAGAAAGAGATAAGCAGAGATCTTAATAATAAAAAATATTATAGTAATATAAAATTATAAAATTATTCTATAAGTTAGTCAGCTTGCTATTGTATAATTAATAAATAATAACTGATGCATAATCTACAGAAAGACTTATAAGAGAAGTAAAATAATAATAATAATAAAGACTTTAATGAACAGATCTAAAGTAAAAGAAAAAGAGAAAAGAAGAAAAAAAAAGAAAAGAAAAAAAAGAAAGAAAAAGAAAATCTATTATCAAGATAATACTTAATTTACTATTTACTAATTCTGATACTATCTGCTGTATAATATATTAATATAATGTATATAAATAAATAGAGCATCAGAACAGTATTATAACTGTATTAGATACTGATGCTAAGCAGTACTGCTATATATATACTCTATTCTGTATAAGATACAGAATAGTATAATCATACTATATAGATATCTAGTTATCTACAGAATCTATATTTATTTACTTTATAGAATCTTTTCTAAGATTTTCAGCTGCTGATCTAAGCTATTACAGATGATTAATTAATTGTCTGATGGATGTATTCTGATACTGCTGTTCCAGCTGTACAGTGCTGTCTGAAAGATCTCTATAATAAAGAGCTCTTACTGATCTAAATAACTGACTCAGCACCATTCTTTATACTAGCTAGTATGTAACTGCCAAGATAACTGTATAATGCCAATCCCCCAGAAAACCTGGTTATTTTTGCAGTCTTGCTGACTAACCCCCTGTCTAACCAGGTTACATGGGGTGCCTGGGTAGTAACCTGCCACAACCTGCCACCCAGCTAACTAATTCTAGTTAGTTGAGATGTCTTAATTTAATCTTTTGCTCGCTTGCAGATTTCGCTCACTTGTGGATTATGTTTAACCTGAAATAACTACACTCAACAACCCTTAAATAGATTAAATTACATTGTAATAGGACTGCGGCAGCTTCTTGTATAGCCTAAAATATGGCAGTTCATACAGCTTGATGGTGCCTGTGAATGTGATGCAGGCTCTGAGGCTGCAGACTTAGAAAGTTGAGTGACTGACTGTTTAACAGGTTAAGCAGGTGGAATGGCAAGCTCAGTAATCTTTTTTCTAGTTAGATCTTCTTCATATTGAATTTAGTGCTTAGATCTTGTATATTTTTGCTTCTCTTTCTCATTTGCAGCAAATATATCTTGATATTGCTTTTTTATAATAGTGGTGTTGATCATTCTATAATCTATATTTGCAGGTCTTGATAATTTGATTAAATCCTTCTGTTAAGCCCTGGAGTGAGCTTTCAAGCCCCTGCTTCATAAGATTCTTGATCTTATCCACCTGCCTATGCAATTGCTGGGGGTTGTGAGGTGTTTGTAGGATCCGAAATGACACTGAGTTACTAGATTGGCTAGCTGAGAGAGTAGAGATTCAGAGTTGAATATCCAGCTGCTGAAGAACCTGATCTGGGTTAAATAAGACTATTCCAGTAGTCATGAAGCCAGATCTCTGTATGTGCTGTAGAATAGGCATCCAGAAAATCTGTCTTCTTAATAGTGTTAATTCCAAGCTATATTTACTGTTTAACTAGACTGCTATATGTCTGCTTCAAAACTGCAAAAATACTCACATTGAGAGACTGCAAGAGGTGGAATAAATGTACTGGCATGCACAGAGAAATAATCTTATTCTTCTTGCAGATATGATTAAATTCTGAGGTAAGATGACTGCTGTGCCCATTCAGAATAAGAAGTATATAAGTTCTCTGGCTTTCATGTTATGAACTTCTAGTTCAATCTCCAGATCTTTTTGCTAGAGTTTGAGCTTATTATTTTGATATTCAGTATCTGTACATCTGTTCATTCATCTATTCATTCATTCATTTATTCATTGGTTTGTTGGAGACTTTAACTATGAATCTTCAAAGAGCTAAAGATGTTGTAGATCTTAGTATTATATTAGAAGCTCAGCTAGGCACTGTAGGAGAAGAATCCCTGTTGCCAACTAGGTAGCTATAATAATGAAATACTAAGACAGGCTCTAGAAAGGGGGTTCAGGGTAAGGGCTCACTATATACACACAATAAGCTTCCATGTCACAGAAACATTTATCCCTTTAGTGAATCCTCCACCTAGGGTTTAGGGCTTCGCCTCGGAACAACCTTCCGCCTGCTCCGTCAGCAGGGAGTCGCGGTCGCGGTCCTCACACAATCGAGACGGAAAACATTCAACGAGCAAACCAAGCAGGCGACTAGCGACCGGAGCCAAAAAAGAAATACAAGTGCGCCGCAACTCTATGCTCAACTCAAACGATAAAGCATCAGTGGACATCAACGGCGCCGTCTAGCCAACCACCCAATCTCAGGTTCACTAAACGGCCCAGGTCGGTTGACCCGTCCTCTCGAGTCCCAATCTCCTCCAGATCCTGGAGAATCTTGTCAATGTATTGCCCAGCACCAGAGAGCTGGAGAATATGACAAATGGCACTGTGTATCGCAAGGAGCCGGGGCAACGGGGGTTCGATTGAGCGGTCAGGTGTGAGATAGAGGGTCCGAGTGACGGGGACAGCTCGTACGGCACCCGGGGGGAGGCAGGAATCAATTCGATAGGTATGTTTCTGGCCAGGAACCGGTTCAAAGAAGATTTTGAACTTGCCAAATAGGCCATGGAGATTCTGGGTAAGACTTATAGCATTGAATGGCCGATCGATATCAACACCATTAATCAGATGTGAAACATTGAAATCGAACATGTTGAGAATCATTAGGGCAGCTTTTTTGGAATCGTCCTACCCATGGAAATATTATTGTTATTCTTCTTCTTTTGGTCCTCGTGGCAAGGTGGCTTACCAACTGAGAATCTGCCTTTGCCTGAGTCAGGGCATGTGGAAGTATGTGTGCCACCTCTAGAGTCAGAAATTCCTCTCCAAGGAGTAGCTGCCCATCGTCGTCCCGAGCATTATTCCCATGTCGCTCCAGACGACTTATTGCTTCGTCCTGATCGAATATGCGCGAAATCACGCAACGATTCCGGTCACGGATAAGGCAAATACCTCGAAGGACTGAGAGTCGATCAGGGGTGGCAGTAAATTCATGTATTCCTCCTTGCGCTCGGTGAATAACTGACAGATGAGCGGGTGAGGGCTGGGCGGTGTGGTGACCAGAAGCCTTAACTAATGCACGGAGTTAGCAGACATCAAAGAATCAAGACAGTGGAAGATAGGGGACCCAACGGGGTAGAAAAATGTTATCCAGTAGAAAGTCTGCAAAAGTGGTCAAACCGTTGTCCAGCTGATCGTCATCAAAATCAATATCATCATCACTGGTAAGACCCAGGTTCATAAATTCAAAGAAGGCACGCAGAAAGATATCCTGCGACAGCTCAGAGCGTGCATACTCAAACGTATACCGGACAAGTAGCGGGCGGCTGTATCCAACCCTTCTATCAGTGGCACTGAAATGATTGATGACAGCATAGAACCTGTCACGGGCCTGGGAGCGCTGGTCTGCTGTCAAGGGTTCGGGGGCGGAAAAGTTGATGATTTTCTCCAGAGATGCATGGTGGCGATGATGGGCGCGGGCGGGGACCATCTATGCCAGCCGCGCAACTGCCTATGTTTCTACGGATGAAGCTGAAGATGAAGATGTAGAGAGAGGAAGGGGAAAGAGAGCTGCAGGGGATCGGAGTCACATGACCATCGCCTGCTGCAGCACGCTCCGAAATGAGGGCACATATTCTTTGTAAGTCAATTGCCCATCCCTGCTCAAACCCCTTGCCGGGCAATATTCTTGTTCTAGTACTCTCATTCTAGCTTTCTTGTTCTGGTATTCTTGTTCTAGTACTCTTGTTCTAGCTTTCTCGTTCTAGTATTCTTGTTCGATCTCTCTATATCCTAGCTTTCTCATCCTAGATGGATTGCATACGAGTCCCGTTTATGGTAAGAGCTGGGAATAGACGAAAGTGATGGTGGCTTGCAGGTGAATAATAGATGTAGACTCTAGAGCAGATAACGAGCTTAATTGCAATAACCACTCGGGGAGGGCTTAAACCCTAACCACCTTAGGCAACGACAACAGCGCTCGGCGGGCTGGGCGCCCCGCTAACCGGCACAAAAGATACGAAGTTTATTATATCTGTATAGTATCTTCTTCATTCTATAATGATCAGACATAAACTTGTTAAGATATAAGAAAGCAAAAAGTTGAGATTTGTATGTGTATTTTGGTATCCCGCTCGCTTGGTTGTCCCGCTCGGTTGCGGATTACGTTAACTAGTTACGGGCGACAGTCAACACCTCGTTATGAAATAACGGTGCTGATGGATGTTCCATGAAGATTGAAGAGACGAAGACTGCGAAGCCAAACTGATTAATTCAAATTGGCTATTTATCACCCCAGCTCCATCCTCCAGCTCGCCCACCTCACCCGAATGCACGAAAAAGTCTCCACAAAGTACCTCTCCCTTCCAATTTTTATGACCACCACACACCTCCCTCCGCAGCTAAAGACCCTGACACCTGTCCTCCTAAAACGAGTGTGACCGATTAATGCAGTGAGATGGGGTAAAAAAAAAAAGGGCAAGGACATATGCAAGCGATAGACAAGAAACAAATGCAAAATATAGACACCAAAAGTCCAAACAAAAGCGCTTCCAAAACCAGCCAGTGTCTATATATATTTTCAAGGGCCCAACAATGCAAGCGGGAAAAGATGTAAACGAGAGTAAAATGGGAAAATGCCTCGACAAGATCCACATTGGAAAAATCAAATAAAAAGAGAGAAAGAAAAAAAATGAAACAGAAACGAAAGGAAAATCGTGTGAACGTTTGGTGCACCTCGCAGGAGGGCAGAAAGCACCGTCTAGATGGTTTTGGTACAAAGTAAAGATGTGTGGATGCAGAATATCAAGGCCTACTCTTTCGAAGCGCAGCCGTGAAGTACAGGTGATTGAGCCTTTTCTCTTTCCGGAGATCGGAAGGATAGCCAGAGAAAATAGAAATAAACAATAAGCAAAGACATTACCAGAAGGTCAGGCGAAGATATGTTTCAAACTATGTGGATCATCAAGTCGTACAGCATGGCAAAACTTGGGAGGTGAGGGGGTAGGGAAATGCCTCCATGGGCATGTCTATCGAAAAATTGGGTCATGTCAAATGAAATGAAAAGAAGGAAAAAGAGAAATGTGAATGGATGGAAAACAGAAACAGCCAAACACGCGAAAACAAGCAAATGTGATACAGTCTTCGATACTTGGATATCTCCTCCGTTGGTTCTGAATCCACTTAGTGCGCTTCGAAATGCATCGGGAAAGAGTTCTGTTTGGGAGTTGGCGGTGCTGCCGAAGGGAACAAAGAGTACGAAGTCCGTGTCTTGCGATGATTGATCCCACGAGTAAAAGTGGACGAGCGCTTTCTCGCAGCAGCACCTGCATTTTTTATAGATGCTCCCATGTCAAAGGTATCCAGAATCGATTCAGACTTGGCTCGGTCATGGAAAGGAGCTGCAGGGACGGAATGTTTCTCGGCAACTGGCGTGCTTTCTAAAGGCGACGTCGCGGTATTGGCCTCCAGAGCCAGGGTATTATTAGGTCGAGCGTGGAGAGTCAATGCGGGCGAGCGCGATACAAAGGATTTGGCTTGTTCAACCAAGGGGCTTGTGCTCTCGCGACTAGCAGCATCACGACTGCCACCTGGACTATGAACCAAATCCGGCACACTATTGGTCGATGTAGATGAGCGGTGCTTTCTAGCAATTGATGCAGCACGGGATAAAATCATGCTCTCCTGAGAGTTGCACTTGCTAAGAGGTGAGCAACTGCTGCGAACGGATGTCGCTTGATCGTCTGGCTGAGCGTAAATGACTTCCTCGTCGCTCTCTTGGATATCGGGCATCACTCCACCGTACATTGGCAGCGGCGACAACCGACCCTCGAGAGGTTGTCCTACGACTTGAAAAAGTTCGGGCCTGTATTTGCCTATTTTTTTCCCAGGGCTGGTGAAATAGTCATAAGAGTGAGCCGACCCAGCTGGGCTGACACTGCCAGGTCGTGGGAAAGAAAACGCGGCCTGTGGCTCTGGCGTGGTTGGGACGGATTTGGAGTCTTTTGATGGCTCGAGTCTCGAGATGAAGTTGGGCTTCTGCGGGCTTTCCTGGTTACGAGCTGGCACAGAATTGTCTCTAAGAGACGCCGCAGCCAGATTCTCACGTACTTCTTCGAGAGACACTCGCTGCCAGTCAAAGTTCGAATTGGACTCAGCTGCGTGCTCATAGCAGTAGTCAATGTCATCCTCCCAAGAGTCTTCCAAGGGGTGATGCACCTTCACGGAGGGATGCGGGATGCATGCTTTGTCATCAGTGACGGACGGTTCTTCACATGCATCCTCCAACAGTCCAAGTATCGGCGAGTGCACGTCTTCTGGGCCGGGCGACCGGTCGATGAAGGGCGGATGGAGAGGCTCGCCGAAGTGCTCGGGAGCAGCAGCGAGTCCCGTGACATGACCCACCATCTGAGCACCCGCGTGGCTGTTGCGCCAAGACGACTCGTTTTCTTCCGGGATGTTTGCAAGCCCGGACACATGGTCGACCGGCGATGCTCTGAGCATCTTTGGGGAGTAATCGTCCGTGGTGAATGCGTGGACGACGTCGTCGGGGAAATGCTCCATTGCGTCATGGTAAGAGCCCTGTGTTTCCGTTGACGTCCAGTAATCTTGCGATGGTTGTTCGGCGACTGGGGGCGGAGAATCGTGCCCTAACAATGCATCGATAGTCTGCGAAGTTGGATCGGCCCGGTGGGAGCATGCAGTTTTCGACGAGTGACGAGGTGGCGGAATGATGCAAGGTGCCGGGGTTGGTTTGTTCACCCGTGAAACTGGACGGGAGAAATTTTCAACGGAGCGAGAAGCTCGCTTGTTGCTCAGACTGTTCGGTGACCTTGGCGTCTCTGATCGAACTGGTGAATGAGGAGGGCTTCGAGTATATAGAGATTGCGAGTCAGGGGCCAATGTGGAAAGGTTGGATGTTGACAGGTCTTCTGAAGAAAGGTTTTGATAGAAGAGGCTTTCCGCTCTGATCCCTTTGAGCTCTGTTTTTGGCCGCTGGGAAGCCCTAATAATGGAGAACTCGGTAGCCAGATCATGTGGATGGGTATACTCGATGGGAGGCAGCTGGCTCTGGTGGGTATGCGTGACGTGTTGGAAGTCAAATGGTTCAGAGATATTTCTTTTCAGGAATTCATCTGCCGAAAGCAGGCCAGGTTAGCGGAGAGGCCACAAATCTTGGAAAAGGAAGATGGAAGATTTCACATACGCATGTCGCTGTGTCGGGTCCGGTGACTCCGATAGAAGAGACCCAATCCATCCAGCCTTTCCCTTTCTCTCGCAAGTCTGTCTTTGCTTCTCTCTCGGCCTCTGATCCTGACCATGTCTTCCTCCGGTTCAATTGTCTGTTGAGCCAAAAGGCTAGTTTTGCTTCCTTGACGCTTCAAGATACGGCTACCACGCGAAATCAATGACCTCGCGAGGCCTTCTTTTTCGCCAGGTAAAAAGAAAGAGGAGAGGGTGCGTCCGTCTTGAGAAGATCTTCGCGGTGAGGCATCAATTGAAGTCATTGATGAAGCAGGAGACTGGTATGAGGAGGAGGTTGAATTGGTGGTATTGCTGCGAGAGCGGTTTTTGAAGACGGAAAGCCGCTTTGGGCTATGAGCCCTGGAGCGTAGTCGGATACCTGCAGAAGTGTCTGGCAAGGTGGAGGATGATGACATAGGAGGGAGTTGTCGACAGACCTGGTCATTATAGAGCGAGGAGGAAAGGAGAATCTGCGACGAGGCGGTGTTGGGCCGGGGGGAACCATATGCGGTGTCGACGTTCAGGAACGACATGGTAGCACGATCCTAATAACTGGTGCAGGGGAACTGGAATCTGTGAGGGGCGCTGTGGTTTCCTCCGCATTCGACCACGCGAGAATAAGTCCAGGATAAAGGAAGCAGGAGCCCTGGATCATGTCCCCAAGCAGAGAGCCGGGATCATGGATAGCGGGTTTACCAGATTCGGGGCAACCAGGAACAAGGGCAACACGTTCGACCTCACAAGCCAAAAGGAAAATGCCCCGGTAGTATCCTTTGGCCCAGCCGGGGTGTGGGCGGAGCTAGGGAAGATCAATTTGGATCTACGGCGGTTCAAGACCGTGAAGACGGGCTCGAAGGGTGAGAGAACCGGGGGCGTGAAGGGATGGGACAGGAATTGAACAGGAATAGGAAAAAGTAGGAGCAGGGATTGTGAGTTAGTCCTGCGGGCTGCAGTCGGGCAAAAAAAGGCGAAGAGGGAGAGAGGAATGTATTGTCGTGCGGATTGAATGACAGAGAAGTGCCCCTCGATGGACTTTAAAATAACGAACGGGATGCAGCTTAAAATAATAGGAGAATTGAAAAGAGAAGAGAGAAAAGAGACAGTAGTGATAGAGACAGCAGAGACTAACGGTCAAATCTCTTTTTTAAAAAAAAAAAAAAAAAAAAGAGAGCGTGGGATCGAGACAAGGCAGAGAATGACACAGTGAGTGAGCGTGAGAGTTCAACGGGAAAAAAAAAATGCAATGGTTCAGGATTGACCTTAAAGTCCGCTCCTATGTATATGTCCGTAGCGGCATATTTTCCTTTTTTTTTGCTTGACCCAGACTCTCTACTCTTTACGGGAAGACAAAAAAGAAACGACAGTCTGCCTGGCCTAGCTGTGATTATTATGGTGGTGATTCCTGCTTGTGAAGAGGTGAGAGATGCCCATCCCGCCGGCCTGAGAATGCCCACTGGGCCAACTCCACATGGGGGCGTATCGGGAAAGGATGGAACTATGTTTGTGTACTCCGTACTCCGTATGTAAACTATTATGCGGAATGTGTGTATGTATGGATGGGCCGGTATCGAAGCACGAGAGTTTTCGCACCGCGGCCAATCGGCGGTCTCGCTGCGCGCGTCTGCGTCCACCGGCCTTCGAGCTGAGGAGCAGTTGCGGGCAAAAGCAGAAGAGGTAAACGCTCTAAGCCGCGGGGCGCTCTATTATTCGCCCAAGTGCCTTGTCTGCTCGCTTCGCCTATTTCCTCAGTTGTGGTTGGTGAAACCCTAGCAATTCGAGATATTTCATGCGTGCCATCTTGGGAGCCAGCGATCCCACGAGTTTGACAAAGGTACTAATTAACCTTCTGCTTGGTATGGAGAGTGGTTTCTATTTTTCTCTCATGAGCCCACCGCGTCGTCAGACTGAAAGCGGATAACCCTGCAAGCCTTCCCCATCCCCCAAGGTATTTTGGACGGCTCAGCCAATGGCAACGGGCCAGAACTGGGGGTTTTGCCAAAATGCAACAATGCATTTCTGCATGCCAATGCAACTGAAAACGCAGGTCGTTCCCGGCCAACAGTCAGATTATCTGAGCCATTATTATCTTATACGGTATATCAGAACGCTGCACAGCGGGTGTCTTTCGAATGGGTCCGTCACTTCTCAGAGAGCGGGCAATTGGCCTTTGAAAAATTCGTGAAACGAGTCGTGATACATTACCCTATGCGTAGCATATTTCCATGACCGTTGCCTTACATACATACATATACAAACGGGTGGATATTTTTCATGGCGTCTCCCAATCAACAGTGACAGTCACCGGATAGAGTGCTCCGTACAAGCGCGATTAAAAAGGCGCTTCTTGGCTACGAGGAATTGAGTTCTACGGACTTCTGATCGGCCAGGAATAAAATACCCAGTCTTTTTCGAAGGGAAACAAAACAAAATGCCGTGAAATGTGGATTGGCAATGCAGCACGTCAATACGACTCATTCGTAATTCCCATACCTTTTCGCACTTACACAGGATGCTTGGCGAAACGGCCCATGGCTTCAACCGAACCCGGGATGCTGGATGGCCCCTGGCGAACCGGCCAATCGCCGATGCGTTCCACCGTGCTGTGGGGCGCTGAGGCTGCCTATTGGGCGTTGGCATGGGGCTTTCCAACCAGCTGCCGATCAATTAGGAAAAGTGCGGAACAGCGCCCATGATGCCGGAACAGGGGAACACCAACGGGCCACACCGGTCGAGGGTGGTGTCGCCACCATCCCATTGGCCAAGCAGCATGAATAGAGTTCCCGGGGCAGCCCATTTAGGTCCGTCTTAGCGGTAATATCTGCGTGTCCCTGTATCTCCCAGTAATTACCTCTGTAATCGCTATCGGTAATCTTACCTCGCCTTGTCGACAACGGTGTGAAGTTGTGCTGGACGAAGGGCTTCAGGATCGACATGTGGGTGAAGAGAAGAGGCGCGCACCTTGCGAAGAGGGTCGAACGGTTCAGCTCTCGCCACGAACTGTTATCACATTCATTCCCTGGCAGAATCCAGGTTGGCCGGTCTTCCTCTGTCATAAGAACCAGCCTTAACCTCAGGGGGGTGGCCCGTATCTTCACGTATCTGTTCCTGTTCCTTGCAGTATCCCTTCCAGGAGTAACATTAGAATGACGAAACCGTCCAGCTCTGGGTGCACCCAACGCCAACATTAATTCCGCCTCCGCTGTCCCACCCGGGGTGTCGTACTCGAAGGGGATTTCGGCAGCACCGCTTATCCCTCATTCCATGGTGAGACGGTGAAATGGAGTTGACGAGCCAAAAAAAAAAAAAAAAAAAAAAAAAAAAAAAAAAGAAAAGAAAAGAAAAGAAAAGAAAAGAAAAGAGAAAAGAAAAGAAAAGAAAAAAGAAATAACAAGAAGCCGGAATAATTCCCGCCAATCTTATGGATGATGATGAGCACGGATTCACACTGAAGAATATATTCTTCCTCTTCGTCTTTTTCCAGCGATCACAGACAAATACTCCGTATAATACGGAGTACTCCTTCCTGGCGGGGCCCAGGGATACCAAAGAAAAAAGAAAAGAAAAGAAAAAATTATTGAATGGACTGTATAAGGCTGGTACTCTCACCATATGGAGCGCCCTGGCAGCATGCAGTGCAACATATATGCTCCTTTTCTCGAAAAGCGTTGGGTTGGCTACTCACCCGCCTCAGCCAGGGGTTTTACATGTATCTAGTCTTGAGTCATGGAATACATACTTTCGATACGCTCGTCCCCGGAAAATTATATCTTCACCTCTCTTTCGGCAAGGTTTACAAATTACTTAATGTGTCTCGCAGGAAGATCCTGATAGAGTTATCGACTGACTATTGAAACTTATCTATGCTTATTGTAACTGCACCGCCATGTATGACAAGCATCTATGCTGATCTCTACCCCAATCACACGGGCACTTCAGCGATGAGTGAACGCGGACACGGGAACACCCTGCAAATGCCTCTGCTTTTGAAATGAGATGAAAACCCGTCCGATCTTTGACCTTGGGAGACACGGGCGTGGGAACCAGGATTGACGTCGCTGTTAACTTTTATCCGTGCGTCCATGAGAGAGCTTGGTTGGCCGCAACCACCCCTACGCCATGGCCACGGCAGTAATTTGTCAGGAGCGGGTTGGAAGCGGCGAGATCGGACTCGACCTCGAGAGGACCGGGAAAATTGAATCAGCGACGGGCGCCCAGCATTATCCTCTCCTGCAGCTCCATCCTCCACACAGTTTATATGTATGTACATACAAACATACATACGTAACCCCCGTACGGGTTGCATACAGAGTACACAGCTGGTGATGTACTCCGTATGAACGGCGCAAATGTACTCCATACAGACCACAGAGACCAAGTGGGGGAGCAATCTAGATGGGACGCGGTCGGAAATTTTCGAACAATCCAGAAGTACAAACACACACTCACGTACAATTCAATTCACAACCGTTCTACCTTACCCTTTCGTCCCCGTCCTGAGAAGAATGCCACGGGAGCCGTGGCGTACATCGCTTTTTCACGAGCATCCTCGATTGCCACAAGCAAACGGACACTACTGTGGACACGAAAACGACATTCCTCCCACGGTGAGCGAAGACGAGAAAGCTTAGCTCTGTTGGCCTTCGTGCCGTTTGATGGTTGTGCCCCACAGGCGACTGTCCACAAACACAACCGTCGTAAGATCCTCGGGATTTCGATCTCGCCAGGGCGTCGAAATCGCCAGACGACAAACTCTCCCTTCCCCAGTTTCAGTTCAACCCGGGGCCCGCTGCTGGGCTTTAACGAGGGTTCCCGAACTTTCAATCCACATGCTTCTCGTCCAACGTAAAAAGATGCATGCCCATCCGTCGATGTGTCTGCATGAAGCCATTTCTGCATCTCGAAGGATTGGAGAAAACGAGGGCTCAGACCGTATGCGGTTCAACATGTTCCGAGCAGACACTCACATGAAAGTTTCTTCGGAAAAATCGAGCCCCCCATCCATCGTCAACCCTACGGTTCGACCCTTCATCGCAGGGACGCTATGATCACATTCCCCTTTCCCCTCTTCAGGACGCGGTTGGGTGTCGAAAGGCTCCGCACGAGAATCCCGCAGTTTGCTCGAACCCCTCAATACCAGCAAACCGATGCAGCTGCGGATCATTCCCTACTCCAGAAGAGATGGATTTGAAAACGGCTCACAGCCTCGGCCAGCCGTCTACCAGTAGAAAGCGCAGCATGAGACATGAACTCTCTTCAGCACTCCCTTCCCGCCGGACGACACAGTGCGTGCTCCGTAAATTCCGCCTTTCAGATCGATATTTCATGGTCGATCAAAACATCAGCTTTCCAGCCCTGATCGGCGTTTTCCAAACAGACACCTATCCATGGCTATCACAAACTATAAACGAGTTCCCCCGTGCATAACATAGTGTCCTCCTAGTAAGTGGGCAAACCCACTGCCCTCAAAACGAGCACCAAATCACCTTCCAGCTTCGTGAAAGCGTTTTCGCCGTTGAGATCGAGTGGCACAACACGAACCGCGATCGGCATAGATCGAACCGCTTTTGCCTTCGCTGCCCACCAATCCTGCAACCTAAGTGGTCGAATTTCGCCCTAGTCCCTGAACAACTTGAAACGGCTTCCCTGCAGCCGATGGCTTTCGAGGGGGAAAGAAAATCAAATTTATGCGCAAAGCTCCTCGAGATTTTGCTGACACTGATCGACCTTCTATGCATGAGAGGAGCAAATCATTGCTTCACTCCTTTCGTCGAAATACAGGGAGCAGATGTATATGGCGTACTTCGTACATATATTTATGTATGTATGGCTTTGGAGGTGCATTCTGGGCTGCGTGCGCCCTGTAGAGTTACCCCGGACAAGAGAGTGATAAATGCAACCACCAGGAAAACCTGGAGGGATGCGAGAGTCACTTATTGACTCCTGCATGAACTGTTCACCACCCCTAGGCCAGTTCCACTCCGTCTCAACATCACGCCTTGAACTCTTTTTTTTTCTCCCTTGTATATCGTTTCAGCCTCTTTTCTACACGAGTCAGTGGCTGAATCGACGAAAGTTTTCCAGAATCGCCATGTGTTTTGCCGACAGCAGCGCTAAACGCCACAGTCACGGTTCTCGATTTTACAAACAGGTTCTGCAGACACTTCGAAATCGAAGCGAATGCAACAAGGCAGACTCGGCTGATCATAGTCTTGAAACAAGTTCTTTCAGGAGACTTTGCGCATGAAACGAACGGGCTGCTTGGCCTGAGGCCAACAAAAACGCCTGCCCCGGAGTCCCCTGCCAGTGAATCTGGCTTTTGGGGGGAGGGTGTCGAACAGGATTTTCTCGCTTCATCCGGTGGTGGGAGATTTCTCATGGGCTTCGAGATATGTGACCTAAATTCATTTTAATTTTTCATTAAAGTCGCATTCAGCAATGCAGTACTCCATACAGAGTACTCCGTATTGGATGGTTTTATTTCCATTTTATTTTATTATTTAATTTCCCCCCCCCCCCCCTTTTTTTTTTAAAAAAAAAAAAAAAAAATTCTTCGGCGAATTTGCAAACAGGGTGTGCACTGTGCGCGTACAACATGGATTTTCCCCGACAGATTCGCCAGGAAACCCGTGCAATGAAAATGGACCATAACCATCGACCTTTTAGCCAGTGTGTGTATTGCACTATGCTCCTGATGGATTACCCGCTGAGCATTGTAGCTGGTGAAAGACACGGTTCTCGCTATGGCTAGACCTCAAATTCCTGAAAAGGAAACGAGTCCAGGAAATCCTTGGAATATTGGAATCCTTCGCAAAAGTTTCGGATACGAAGTCGATTCTTCACCTTTCCCAAAGAGCTGGAACTGTGATCCAGCCTATGCACCTTGATCCTTTATGGGGGCAGAATCTCGCCCTTTTTTTTTTATTTTCCTCTCCTTTGTGATATCGCCTTATACAATAATGATATCAAATTCTTTAGATAATGAATAATGAAGTGCCCGTTCCGACAGGGATGTGGACGTACGGCATAATCCCTTTTTTCGGGCCTTATATCCTCGCATGATGGATTGATAAGCAAGGGTATCAAGCAAGCCTGCTGGATGAGATGCGGTGGAAGATGCCAGTCTCCAGTAAGCATCCACTTTCAGCAGGCCTAGAGGGCTACTACAAGTAAAATGCCTGGGATCTAATACACATGTACTCGCTAATCGCAAGGGCGAGTGGAAGCGCCTTTTCTGCCTATTCGAAGTAAACAGCCATCAGAACCCAATTCTAAGAAAAAGCTGTACTCGTTTCATCGTGAGTCGAGAGAATTGTTCAAAAACTTCGGCATCAACTGAAAGTCGAAAACTGCCCAGCGATGGACCAACTCTGAGTCAGAGTGGCTCATTGGCAATGGCCATTGCATTTATCTTAGTATGGAGCTGCATGAGGCTATTCGACAGAGCTGCCCTTATGACGATAGAAATATTCCGTACATTTCCGGTTTGATTTCCTTTTTTTTTTTTTTTTCCCCAGCCCTTGTGGCCTTGCAAGGTGGATGGCCTCCCAGGACGAGGTAGCGTGCTGGAGGAATCTCCGGTCGCGCGAGATGATTTCGAATAGTTATCCCTTTTTGCAACCCATTTACAGATTACACCCATGAGCGTTTCAGTTGAATCATCAATGACCGTGTAACTGTCCTTCCTCTGCAAGCTTGCACTTTACAAGCAGCAGTGAAGTAAAATGAGGGCGAAGGATTACGGCCTCGCAACGCTCGGTGACTCCGTCACATTCTAGAGTACCAGTGTCCCTAGCCGTCCGAGTCGGTGTTACCAGAAATCTCGTTGCTTTCGCGAATCGCATCGTTACCAAATATATTTTCAGGTGGACAGGGGATATTCCAATCCAGTAGAATGCAAATTCACGGCTGCCTGGCCAATTACTTGGGTGGGACTCGTCGAGTAATGCTGTGTACACCTGGGTGAGATAGCATCTGTGATGGCAATCTGGAAGGACTTTCGCTCTTGTTGCACAGGGTCCGTTATTTGAATATTACCTGGCGGACCTTACCATAGGCCATCAGCCGTGGACACGACGGGGCTGAGCTGTTGACTCGACCGGACAATTAGAAAATACCTTTTGCCCAGTCCCATCCTGACCGAGTTGTTAGGTTGTTATCTACCCAACACCGTTTAGGTAAATATGCCGGTGTTGGCACTTCATCGAATTTTCCATCGACTTCAGTGGAGATCGAGGGCTGAATGATATTTAGTTAAATAGCTGCGGCTGGACCTGAGGTTTCACAACGGCGTTTCCGTGGACTACACCAGGTGGAATGTAGTCGTGACCAACGCTGCAGTCGACTTGTGTACTGCCCTTTTGACTTGCGGCAGTATACGGCCCCTGTCTGCAAAGCGACTCTTACATTATGTCCATAAGAAATATTCGCGACGAGTATCGATACTTTAAGTCTATTGAGGCTAGGTATCCGTGGGTAGTCTGTCTATGTTTCACAGCAACTTCAACTTTCAGGATCCTCTCTCTCGGGAAAGGAAGAACCAGGAATTATATGATGAGAAGCACTTTCAGCATTCTATATCCACAAGCGCCCCTTTTGCTTTTAGCTTACAGAACCACAACTCCTCTTCGGCAAACATCCAGATACCCCCCCTAACGAAGTTGAAATTCGCTGTAATCCCACCTACAATGATTTTGCCCAGGAGTATACCCTGGGAGTCCCAAACGTGTACACCGTCTCCGCAGCCAGAATAAACATACCCATTTTCATCACACTTAATGCCGTCAGGGACGCCTGTGTCACAGTACGCAAATGTCCGCCTGTGGCCCAAGCGCGTCCCGTCATCAACCACATCATACACATAGATACTTGCAGGTTTCCTCGGATCGGCAAAAAGTTGATGTCCATCACCGGGCCCATTATGAGCCTGAATAGCACCGGTGTCCGTAATGTACATCCTCGAGTAGTCGGGACTGAAGCAGAGCCCGTTGCACATTTCAAACCCATCGGCTACTACCACACACTCTCCCGTTGAGGGACGGAATCTGTACACCTGCGCAGGCAACTCTGGCGATGGCCGAAAGGCCTGCGCATATCCGTACGTGGGATCGGTGAACCAGATATCACCGGTGCCATGATGCACCACGACATCATTGACAGAATTAAAATGCCGTCCTTGGAAATTGTTGATCAGCATCTCTGCCCGGCCCGTCACGGGATCGACGAGCACCAGTCCCGATGGACGCGAGAGATCCCCCTGCGCGCAGTACAGGACCTTGTCATCGAAGTTACACGCCCCGTTGGCCTGGACGACGTCCGGGTAGTCGAGCTTGGAGATCTCATGCGTGTCGCAATTGATTGCGTAGAGCTCGATCGGGTCGCATGTTTGGAAATTGGCGGTGAAGTAGACCGAGTTTGTGGGCTTGATGTAGACACCTGCTTCGTGGGCGAATTGATAGCTGCGCTTCTCGATGAGGGTGAGCTGCGGTGAGTCTGTCTCCGGGCCAATGATGTCACGGATGAAGCGGGCATCGAAGGCTACGAAGCGAGGGACGGGGGAGCGGGCGAGCGAGAGAGCATAGGGAGCGTCCTTGGCCGCGTGGGACTTGTCAACGTGGACGACTGGCGTAGCTGGTGCTGGGGTCATCTTCTATATGGTCCCAGGAGATCAGTTGACTGTGAATCTAGCCACGGGGAGTTGGATCTGCGAAGGAATGAGTTCAGTTGGATTCATCAGCGAGTGACGTGGGGTTTGAAAGCGACATTGTACCCTCTGTGACGTTCACGGCTAGCACAAATTTCCATCCTCGTTTGCGTGGGCTATTCGGCACGAATACTATCGGAATATTGAACCGAATTTTCGGCTAAACGTCTTGCGGGGACGAGAATCGGGATCTGCCCATTGAGGCGAGGCAACATCGACGCCCCCGACGATCAGCGACGCATCGAGTTAAATACGTACGGAGCTACAGGCCAAAATGGTTCTACGCAAAAGCAGTAAATGTCATTCTTCTTAATTAGCCATAAGTGTACACTACATGTAGACCAGATACAAGAAATACTGCTGCTAAAAGACAAAGAATGAAACGCCTGTCCATGTTTTGTCCTGCACCCGGGAGAGAGCTAAAGGGGGAAATAAGAGTCCAGACAAGAGTAAATCGAAGGTTCATAAAAAAAGAAATATCGCAAAGTGGACATAAAGATATCAGCGAATAGCGATGAAGGACTGGAAATGGCCTCATTTGAAGTAAAGTGAAAGGCTCATTCCTCGTCTTCTGCGTCCTTCATTTCGGCATCTACACCGATATCATCACCTGCCTTGGCTTCTTCCCCTTCGCTTCCCGGCTTCTCATCGAATAAGTCGTCGTGCTCTCCCTCGTCCTCATCCTCATCATCTTCTATCCGTAAATTGACCTTCTTACGCCGACGCGACACCAGGGTATCTTCGTCGTCTTCATCGAGGTGGCCGGTGTCACGCATCCTCTCATCTCGTTCGTCTGCAGTTGGCGGGCTACCGTTGCTAGCTGGAGCGCCTGTCTCTTCGTCGCTTTCAGACTCAACAACAATCTCGCTGCTCTTGTATTTACTTGACTTGGCCGTCGCTCTTCTTTCCAAACGTCTTCGCTTTCTTGGAGCGGGCTGGTCTTCGGCATCGGAAGTGGCAGGTGTGCGTGAGCTAGCTGCGCTCTTAGCTCTGGACTTCCTCGACGTTTCTCGTTCTCCATCTTCTCCTTTCTTTTTTCGCTTGCCACCAGAAGCCTTCTTCCTTTTAACCCTGTCTCCCGTCTCGGAGTCAGTAGTGTACTCAGCAGCTTCTCTTGCCTTCTCTTCTTCAGCCCGAATAGCAGCAAGCCGCTGGGCCTCTTCGACCATCTGCTGTCTCTCTTCCGCAATCTGGCGCTTCCTTTCCGCTTCGGCCTCCTCGGCCTTACGCCGTTTTTCTTCTCGTCGTCTCTGTTCAGCGTCACGGGCCTCCCGAGCTTGTTGCAACTTGGCGGCATTCTTTTCTTCATACTCTTTCTGGCTTTGTAAAGCACGCTGAAGTTGATTGATTGTTGTGTTTCTGATCATGTTCGCTCGCTGTTCAAGTGAGATAGGCGGATAAGGTGGATTCGGTGCCTTTGCAATTTTTTCAAATGTCACCACGGCTTCGTCAAGTCCGCTCAGGGCTTCTTCGATCTCCTGGGACGTCTTTTGCGTCTCCGGAAGATTCGAGGCGAGATGAGCAATTTCGTTTTGGACGAAAGCAATGTTGAAGTCAAGATGCTTCTGTTCGGGGGCCACGGCGCGAGCACGTTCCGCATACTCCAAAGCGGTCCTCATCGAAGTGATGCTTCGCTCTTGTTTGCCTTTCAGGAACCATACGCGGCCAAGGCAAGAGAGAATCTGTGGATCCTTGGCCCTATCTTTTGAGAGAGCAATCTCATACTGCTTGTAGGTTAGCTAGCGCCACACCGCGATATTTGTGAACGGATCCTTACGTTTTCAATAGACTTGGAGAATTGCCTTAGTTCTGCAAAGACGTGTCCCAAGTTCAGGTAAACACTTGCGTCCCGTATAGAATCTCGAACTTTGGAAAATACTTGAACCGCTGATGCATAATCTTTTCTGTCATCAACCAATGCAATTGCAATTCCTTGGGCGGCATATGCATTCTTCGGGTCTAGTTGAAGGGCTTTATCGAAAAATTCAACGGCTCGTTCGTATACCTTCCGACGCTTTTCTCGATCTTGCTCTCCATCCCGTCTCATGTCTCGAGCCACCATTAGGTGTATGTTACCCATAGCGGTCAAGGAGTATCGATCGTGTTTGTCATAACCTTGAAGAGTATGTTTATGATGTCGCTGCTCATGATCTTCCGCGATATTGGCAGTTCGACGTTTTGATTTATTGAGATACCATCCAAAAAGGGCGCGGACTTCCAAGTTGGTAGCTTCTGCTTCGTACAGCTTTGCCATCTTCTTTGGCCCTTCATCAGTTGGGCTCTGACGGAGTGCCATGTACGTGAGACGGGCATTAGCTTCGGTGTAGTCACTATGCCTTTCCAAAAGTCCTTTGTATACTTTCTCGGCTTCTTCTGGCATTCCCGCAGTTTCGTACGTACGCCCGAGATTGTAACTGATCGTTGTAACAAGCGCATCCGTATCGGTTCCATCATCTTTCTCCTGTGTTTTCACACAGGCGTTGAGAGCTGTTTGGAACATATTTCGAGCTTGTTCAATTTTATCGGCCTGATAGAAGAAGCAGCCCATGTTGTTGAGTAGCTGAGGAGCCAAACGTTCTCGGAGGATGTTGGTCATCGTTTCTTCATCTTCAACATTATCCGGTCTATCCTCTTGTGGAATTTGGGCAAGTTGTATCTGTTCAATCTGAGAAAGGCATTGCATGCTCTTCTCCGGAGCGCTGGTCTCATACAAGCGAGCAAGGTAGAGCAGTACGGATATATCCGGAGATATTTTCTTCTTCTCATCCTTCCACGAGGCGCGTACAGCTTCAAGGAGACCAATGGCCTTCTTAATTTCGGTGGATTTATCTTCTTTATTACCGCTAGCCAGGGCTTCAAATATTTCTTCAGCATAAAGAGAGCCTAGCAGCGTCATCGCTTCCGGGTTTTTCTTCTGCTGGAATATCTTTTCAAGCCGAAATTTTGCCCCATCTTTGTCATGTGCCTTGATCTGCATCTGCACAGCTCCGAACTTAGCGGGGAGATATCCTTTATCCGAACCGCCTCTTGCCTGGTCGGATCGATTGTAGTATTCCTGCGCCTTCGACGGATCGCCCTCTTCATGTTCTTTACGTGCGAGCAAATACCAACCATCACTAGCAATGGCATTGACATCAGTGAGCTCAATGGCTTTCCTTGCAAGTGCCTCAACCGTCGGAAAATGCCTGCGGAGGAGGAAATAGCCGCCGAACATAGCGCAAGTCAATGGGTATTCCTTATCAAGTTTGAACGCTTTTTGGGTGTATTGAGTCATGGCAAGCTTGTATAAGGACCCAAAGGCAGGATCGGTTGTTGCGTGACGAGAGCTATCGTAAAGGTAATACGCAGCGAGGAGGATGTTTGCAACTTTGGAGTTGGGATTCTAGAAGAAGTTAGATAAAATTTAACTTGGAGAAGAAGAGAGCGTTATACCAGAGCAAGGGCGCGGTTCCAAGCTGCTTTAGCCTGGTCCTTAAAATCAAGCTGCCACAGGCAGCAACCGATACCGATTCGCGGATCAGGATCTGTCATGTTTGGCATTTTCATCAGGACATCCTGATACCCTTCCAGAGCTTCAGCATAGCGTCCTAACATGTACTGGGCTCTTGCTCGACCCAGTATAGCCATGACATTTCTATTCCCGAAAGCCTTGGAGGATTCATCGAAACATTTCAACGCTTGTCGCAGAGATTCTACTCTCTCGGAGGTGTCGACAGTGCCGGGTCTGATCGGCTTTGCTGGAGGCTGTAAAGATGCACGGAGGAGAGAAAGGACACCTCGCGCGAGGAAGAGCGGTGGGAAAGCCGGGTTCATCCGAGTGGCTTCATTGAGGGTAGCGGTTGCGGCTTGAAGATAGTAATCTTTTGTTCTCGCTTCGGACAGCAACTGTCCTTCCGGAGCGACTCTCGGAGCCTGCCTGCTCTTGAGCAAGTATAACCAACAGATCCAGTTCAGCAAGCCGAGCTTCTCCACCGACGCGCCATGAGATAGAGACGCAATCCCACGATTGAGGATCTCGATAGCGAGATCAAGTTGATTGTGCTTAGCATAAGCAAGAGAGATTATCACCCAAAAATTCTTTGTGGCCTGCTCATTGTCAAGGAGAGTACAGAGCTCGGTGGGATCTTCGGGGAGTTCTTCAAGGCTAATTTCGACTTCGGTGTCAAAGGAGGATGCCGGGATATCGATGGCAGAAGGGATGTCGGAGAAGCGAAGATTTGCGGGCGGCGCATTAGCTGCATTGTCCAGCGCGACGGTAGAGCCGTTCACATAGCCATTTTGAAAAGATGCCATAGTGGTGCGCAAGCCGGGGAGCTGTGAACACGGAGAATTGGTGAAGACCCACCGACGGAAATCAGATCACCATCACCACGCAACCATTCAATATGGGATTTGCCTGCTAGTATAGGGCGCGGTAGGGCAATCAGAACGCCACTGGAATGGGAGAAAAGAGTTTGCGCAAGAGAGGGACCGGCGAGCTTCGTCACGCTCCGAGTGCGAGAAATGTCAGGTTCTCCCGATCGAGCATTGGCGATGCTTGCAACGGGGCTGATTAAGCCACACCAGCCACATTTACAAGCCCTATCTTTGTGGCTGGTGGGCCCATGAAAGTATGGTCACGTGATAAATCTCTTTCGGGTGAGGTCGCAACCGAATACGGACTGTATGAAATGTGTGCAATTTGGAAATAAGATTCTAATCCCTCTGCAAAGGATTATACCCCCTGTAGGCTAGCCTAGAATTTGTCCTTGTTCATGGAAGAGTGTGCCTTAATCATTTGTCATTCGTATAGCTAGCGGTAGACTTCTGGCATCTAACCTGCCATTAGCACTCGCTATCATGTAGTTCATCTAAATGCAGGAATTATTGATTAGCTCTACGGAGTATGCAGCTCAACACCGAAGGAGTTACCCGAAATAGTCGGTCAAAATTCCAAAATTTCTAACCAAGCAAGCCGCCCCTAAAAAGCAGAAAAACCAAAAGCCCCCGAATTCCTAATTCCAAATTTGTGGAAGGAACTTAAGAACTAAGCCCAATGTGATAAGAATTGTAAAGACTCTGCCGGCTTCACTCCAATGTCTGAGCCTAATTTCGCTTTCGATATAGCCATCATTAGCACTGCCTGTCGCCTGGTTCCTCTCCTCTTTAAATCCTGTACTGGAGGTGGTTTCGGGTTCGAATGGCGGGAATCGGCCGGTTTCGGCAAACCGTTCAAGTAGCTGATCCTTCTCTCCCCATCTCTTATAAATCCAATCCTCGAACTCCTTCTGGTCGTTGAGTGGAATATCTAGAATAGCAAAACGCCGCCAATAGAAATTCACAGCCTTCGGAGGTCGTCCCCGCAGATACGTAGAACGAAGAGTGAAGTAGGATTCTGCATAGCTGCCTTTCCTATCTGCTTTGTCAACAATCTTTTCTTTAAACTCACGGGGGGTCAAAGACACTACTTACGGTGGACCCTCGTAACCAACCGTGCAGTCGTACACATAATCGACAGTTCCTCTGAGCTTCTGGAGACAAAAGAACAACCCAGTGGAACGGGGGAGCAGCGTGTGTTTACGCGGAGCAATTCCTTGCTTCTCGCAATATGCATCGCTTCGTCTTTTGGTGTTTCGAGATAGGTTCGTGCCTTCGGGGTAGATAAGCAGCCACATGGGGTCGAAGACCGGTAAGCCATCGGGAGACTTTCCATGGCTGGTTTTCAATTTCTGCAAGCGATGCTGCAATCGTGGCTTATCCTCAATCCATTTGCGTGCCATGAAAATGAAACCGTACAGCATCATTCCCTGTCCGATAAAGGGGATATACTTGAGAGATTCTTTCAAGATAATATATATATATCCGTGCATATTGCTCGTGTATGATACCCACCATAGGTAAAGCCAGTCTGTGTAGACTTGATGGTTCGCGATCAAGACAAGTCGCTCCGGGAATTTTGTAACTACCGTTCCATCATTTCGGAGGCTGAATTGGCCTTGCATGCTGCTATCTCCACTGATTCGAACTGGCGTCGGACTCGACCATTGTGTGAGTGCGGTAATTGTGATGCCAAAGAATCGCTTCGTCATCGCCATGTACGAATAAAACCACCGCTTGTTGACGAGGTAAAGTGGCAGACCTATAGCTTGAGTTGCAACGATAGAAATGCAGCAGCAATTGAACCATGTTACGATCAGCAAGCTGCGAACTATCTGGAGAAACAACCCATAATTCCCTTCGGGACGGGCGTATTTGTGTCGACCTGTGTCTCCTCGGTATGATGTCGAGTCAGACGCCAGCTCTGGTGCTGGCGGCTTGCGTTGTACCGGACCGTTGGACGACATGAGATCACTTTGTGCTTTACGAAGGCCGGAATCAGATGCCACGTTCCAATGTGATCCTCCTTTCCCGAGGCGGCTGGCTCTTAGGCCGCTCTGTTGAGAACGTCAAACTTTTGACACCAGAGAGAAACCAGCGGCTGGGCTCTCCTAACGTAGGATCGAGATGTGAAACCACACCTGGGAGTTCAACAGCTTTTCTCGTCTCCTTTATTTCCACTCCACACGGAGGTGACGTGCGTATGGCGGTGTAACAGTGCTGCCTATAGGAAGATCTCCAGAGGGGGATGGCAGGAGAGGATCAGCGATTCAGAAGGGCTAGTCAGAGGGAACAGCCGGCGTCAAGAGACAGAAAGCTCCATGGGCCCGGGGATAGAACCGGGGTAATATTGGGAACGTTGCGTGGGAGCCTGGGGCTGCTCGTCATTCTTGTTCTGTCGCTTAAGCTGCATTGGAGCTTCAGCAAATCGCGATGCAGCTTTGTTCCACTCAGGTCCTGATACGTCAGACCATGTGACCACATTGTGAACCCGTCCACAGAGCAAATCCCAACGGCTTGGCATCGAGTTCACGGTCGGGTCGCGTGCGTGTGCGACGAATTTTTAAAGCTGTGTGTGGACGGGAAGCCCATACTAGCTACGGAGAGACTGCTTCCTGGCTGCAAGCGCCGTTTAATCGATCTTGGATTGCTTTGCCGATTTGTAACCATGCGCCCTGACCCCCGCTTCCGACCGGTTTCCTGACCTTATGCTGGGAAGCGCCTCGATCTGCAACCCTGCAGGATAGTTACTGTGTACTTGACCTGAACCCCGCTGGGTGTTTACAGAAGCAATTTGAGGACGGTTTCAGGAATGCTGATGGCCAGCAAGATCAGTAGGTGGGATCTGCTTTTCCAGCAAAATCGATATTACCGACTCATCTCGAATTGACCACTAGATTTCGACCACCTGATTGTTATTTTGCATTATTTCTACTTTGGTCTTAGCTAAAGCCACGATGCTGTTGGTAAAAGGTCATTTTCAAAAGCAGGTAGTGGCTCTATTGGGGAGAGCCATCAAGTATCGCAGATTCTCCTCCACTCCGCGGTTACGACAAATCGAAGATATCAGCACCCTACCGGACCGCATATTCCCGCGCTATCAAGGTGTGCGTTAGAATTCTAAGAAAGAATCCGAGCTATGCTTGTTAACCATACTGACTTAATCGATATCATATAGAATCCAAAGGAAGCGACCTCCTTGCACTGCAATGGCCTGTGCCGCCACGAAATATTCTCCTGGTACGCAAGAAAGGGGCCCCGGCCGTGACTCAATCTGTGATTGAGTTTGCAAAGTCCGTATTCCCCCACCCTCCAGCTTGCCAGGCGAGTTATATTAACTGAGATTCAGTTATATCAAGTCCACTTATCCTCCAGCTTCCATCCTCTTAGAGCGAGACACTGCCAACGAAATCCACGATGCCTTGCCGTTCCCAGTGTATGCCAACACAACATCTACGGACATTCTCCCCGAGAAGGTGGATTTGATGGTTACTCTAGGCGGTGATGGCACAATTTTGCGGGCTTCGTCCTTTTTCGCCACGTCCAAAACGGTTCCTCCGATTCTGTCATTTAGTATGGGCACCTTGGGTTTCCTCGGGGAGTGGGAATTTTCAGAATATAAAAGCGCCTTCCGAGAGGTGTACATGTCGGGGTCTGGTTTGGGAGAGCGTGCAGCAGTGCTTGGGAGTCCATCAAAGGACAACAACGAAAAGGCGACCGACAACATGCCGCGAGATTGGTCCACTCTTCGTGGCATGTCTATGGGATTAAGCAGAAGCGCACGGATCCTAGTGAGAAGTAGAATAAGGGTTGGCCTATTCACGCCAGATGGAAAGCCGGTGTATAACAACGGTGTGACTATGTCATCCCCCGCGGATGATGATGCTGGGGTGTACGCGATGAATGAAGTAGTGATTCATCGTGGTAAGCAACCGCATCTTGCGATTGTTGAAGTTTATGTTGGTGGTCGATTCCTCACTGAAGCTGTTGCGGACGGAATGATCATATCTACTCCCACTGGGAGTACGGCTTACAGTCTTAGTTCAGGAGGCAGTATCATTCACCCTCTTGTGCCCTCCTTACTGCTGACTCCCATCTGCCCGCGAAGCCTAAGTTTCCGGCCGTTGGTGATTCCTTCTAGCACACCTGTAACTCTGCGCCTGAGCGAAAAGAATCGCGGCGGTGAAGCGGATGTTAGCATCGACGGTGTTCTGGTAAAGCAAGGTCTTCGAATTGGGATGAAGATCCGTGTGTGGGGCGAGGATATCAAAGTTGTCGACGGCGCCTGGCATGGAGGTATTCCATGCGTGATGCGCAAGACGATAGGTGATGGTGATGCATCTGACGGGTGGGTTGGGGGCTTAAACGGGCTTCTGAAGTTCAATTATCCATTTGGCGCGGAGCCATGATGACCCTTATTTTTGAAACTTGAAGCCAGAATGTTGTAAATATGGCTGCGTGCGCCCGAGTTTGCTGGCGTAATATTGATACCCAAGCCTGAACTTACCCCGGACCTAGTCAGATTGTTTTGCCATTTTTCTCGAGCTGGAGAATTTCGAAACGGGCCAGATCTCGAAGTTGCCAGATTTATTTAAAAACGGCTTTTTGTTGGACTCGCCCGAGTCGCTTATTTTGGGGGGATAACTGTGTTTCAGCTGCGCGTGCTCCATCAGAAATCGTGCCGCCATGGCCGTAGGCTTTCGTATTCCGGAGACGATGTGCGAACAAAATAGATCCCGCCACTCAGCCTACCAACTACCCTTATCTATGCATTGATTCGGAGAGCATATGGGAAATATATCTCCGCCCCTAACTTCTCCCATAGGGTTTCTCAAACCTCGGGGCCCCCTTTCACCTCTTCTCGAGTAGGATTTTTTTTTTCTTCCCTCTTGATTAATAATGATACATAATAATCTCGAAGCCCCTTGTCCTGTCCAGGGAGCAGAACAATTTAGGTTTCAGGAGGTTGATGGAAAGGATCAGGAGTACTCCGTAAAGGGCTTGGATTCCAAAGGCCTTGATCACTAAAAATTGGATCTAACAAGATACCGCATATAGGATGCAGCTGGATGCGATGCACAGCCTGCGATGCAGCACAATCTCTCCGCTGCCTTGCACTCCGGCAGAGTAGAAATAAATGGACTGAGATGTTGCTGCTGGGGATGTATCAAGTGCCAGATTGACGCTAGACGGGGTGTGCCGCCACTAGTCCGCCCTCCCCCCCATGCAATCGCGAGAGGAACAGCCAACTCCAACCACATCCACCTTCAGCCTCCACAAAGGGGGTTTATCAAATTCGCAAATTCACCGCCGATTGCTCCTCTGTCATTTCAAACCCTCGCTCACTAGCTTTCAGCCCTTATTCTTGTGCAACACAGACACTTGTTCATATCCTGATCGGAATTCATTCGCACACTCCATCTGTTGTCCTGCCATCTCACTTTGTCGGCCTCACTTCATGGCTGGACCCTCACTTTGTCCGCCCCACGCCTATCCCTCGAAAGCAGTTGGTTGCTGAACCAGTCACTACCGTCTGCGTTGCTTGAGCTAGTCATTTGCCTGTTTGGATGAACTCTCAGGCACTGGTTTTGCCCCTTGTTCCTGTTTTATCTCTCTTGAGTCCCAAGCAAGGCAGTGAATTCCTGAGGTAAGCTAACAGCACGTCAGACTTATTTTGAATACTTAATCATGGCACATCTATTTCTCTTTGTCTGGACAGTGTGCCTTACGTAACTGGGGCTTTTTGGGTCTATGTATCGCGTTGGTTATGAATGCCGAAGCAGTGTAGACTGACTCTCTACCACGATATAGTTACCTTAATATCCATACCCCCTCCTTCGAAAAGTCTTTGTGTTAGATACACTCATATCTACAGCTCCTTTCTGGACATGCACATGAGTAACACGGTCTATTGCTGAAAATGGCATCTCAAAAGTAAGTTGCACTCTATCTGCGCATTGTTTTCCCGAGGAACCTGCCCTCAAAACTGTTTAGACCCGGTCACAAAAGTTACCTGGACTTTTACGTCTCCTTGCAAAGAACATGCAGGTCAATTGCTGATACCAATGCTGATTAACTGAAATCTATAGTGTTTATTCCCGGGACCAGTTCATGAATCCTGGTCCTGCTCCTCGCCCGCCCACAGACCGACCCCGCATTAACACGGCGTCCACTGTATCAAGCGTTCCCACCAGCTTTAGCCAGATGTCCTTGAACTCGCCGTCCACGCCCACCTTGTCCATATTTCCGAATTCTAGCACACTGTCTTTGAGCCAAAAGAGTGGCCAAGGCGGGGTTGCTGTAATAAAGGAGGGATACGTCCGCTGTAAGGAGGATAAATTCTTAGCCAGCTGGAATCAACGCTATCTAATCCTTCGTGAATTTAAACTCGAATTCTTGAAAAATGAGACTGGCAAGGTGGTCCTGTCTATCCAACTGAACAACATTACCAATGTTACTCGTTCAGAGGATACGCGGATGGCATTTGAGATTACTCGAATTGCCAATCCGAAAGATGCTAATAACCGTGCGGCTCTTACAAGCCGAGACGTAGCCACCAAGACGATTACTTGCGAAGTCAAAAGTGACGACGAGATCTATGAATGGATTGACAAGATCTATGAGCGCTGCCCTGGTATGGGTGGTGTCAGCAACCCCACCAATTTCAGTCATCGTGTCCATGTTGGATTTGACCCTCACACTGGAGCGTTCGTTGGGCTTCCTGCGGAATGGGAGAAACTTCTGACGGCATCCGCTATTACGAAGGAGGATTACAAGAAGAACCCTCAGGCTGTTATTGAGGTCCTTGAGTTCTACTCTGATATCAAAAGGCGTGAGCAAAATCCGCAATATTATCAGGGTATGGGTCCTGGATACCCTTCAAGTCAACGTCCAATGCAATCAGGCCATTCTTCCCCTTCTCAGCGGCTGGTCATGCAACGGAGCGACACCAGCCAGTCTCAGCGACAGTATGGTGAAATGTCATCAAATACTTCTCCGGTTTCGCACCGTAAGGTCTCAGATGCCGACCGTGCTTATGCATCATATCAGCAGGAGGTTTCGAAAGAGATGCCAGACCCGGAGCAGAGACGCCGCATGGACGAGGAAGCTCGACGTATCCGAGAAATGCAACGCCAGCGTGAAGAGGAACAGAATCGCCGAGAACAAGAGGCATATAATGCCTCACTTCCGAAGACCCGTCCACCTCTTGCACAGCAAGAATTAGGTGGATATGGAGGTGGTCGAGTTGAAACGCCTAACAATCGATTTAACCCATCGCGTCCTGCACCTAACATCCCTACTACTGATCGTAGTCGCCAACAGGCTCCAGGGTCGCTTCGGCAAATGACTCCACAACGCCCTGCGCCCTCAACCCCCAAAACTGGCACGT